GAGTTCAAGGGCGGTGGTAGAGGCCACACTTGCTAAGTACCGTCCTTGGAGAATTTTGTTTGTTTCTCATATTCTCTACTGTAGCTATTTTTTTTTCCCCAGGTACAAAAATAAAGGTGGAGGAATATACTTCACTCATAAGTAGGAAGGAAAGAAATCCTGATGGACTCATGTAGTTAAGTTTGTGACAGAGGGAAGGGCCGTCGGAGGATATTACTTTCTGTAAAGTAGGAGGAGCTTATATGTTGAGACAGAGGATGCTGAAGAGGAGAGTATGTGGCACAGCCTCTTTGGAGAATGAGAGAGGGAGTTGTGTAGAGACACGTGTTTTTATAGGAAGAATGTATATTCAGTGTATATAGCGAATATGTATATAGCGAATTGACTGTCACAGGAGGTAGCAGGAACACTTGCAAACAGTGTAGCGTTTACAGCTAAATTGTTGCCACCTTAGGCTGTATTCCGGCCTCTCAGTGACATCCTGTACCTGTGCCCACCCTGGGAAGCAGCCTGCAGCATTTCCGGTTGAAGTAAAAAAGCGTGCTGTGTAGTCTTTTAGCATGGTTCCAGGACAAGCATACCCGTTTGTTTTACAGTGAACCAAAAAGAAGCGGTTAACCCAAAAGTCATCATCTCTGTCCTGCTCAAGACCATCAATGCTTCAGTGTTTTCACATGTTGTTAGAACTACGAACTCTTAAAAAAAAAAGCCTACCAGTCACCTTAAGGATGTCACGTCGGCGATTTCAAGTCAGGCAGGTTGGTGGGCTTTGATGCCTGTTTCATACAGAGGAGAAAGACATCCTAATATATATAGCTGGATATGAACATTTAAATCTATTTTATTATAAAAGTGGAGTTGACTGAAAATCCGAGGAGTTAGCTTTCTTCTGTCACTTTTTTCTATTCTTAGAAAATAGAAATACTTAAATTTTTATTTTGAAATAATTTCAAATGTACAAAAAATTGAAAGAATAGAATAAAACAAAGAACTTTTGAATGCTTTTCCAGTTTTACCAATCGGAAACATGTCGCCACAGTCGCTTTTTCATTCTGTAATATATTTAGGGACGCGCACATACTATTTCTCTGGTCAGTTTTGTTTGATCTTCGTAACGATAATCTAAGACATTCTCCCGTGTGTTACTTACAGCGCCAGCTGTAATTGGAAGTATCGTATTCTGAGATTGCCTCTTGTCGTTCCTGTGAAGCTCGCTTGCCAGCTACGATTTTCCTACTTCTCTTTCCATGTAATTAAACATCATCCTATATTTAGCCCTTAATGAGATATTATATTTTGTATTTCTTCATTTCTCAGATGGCTAAGTTTCTGTCACAAAAACGTAATGAAGCCTGAACTTTGTCTTGGACTTCTTGACTTGGAGGATGGGGGTTGAGAGGTAGATGTGGGGGGAAGGAGCTAGAAGAGTGATGATCATAACGTGAGCCTACAGCGTAGTCTATAGGGATAGGGACTGGTAGGTAGGCTTTTAGAACCGGGAGGGAGCTTAGAGACCGGATACTAGCACATCCCTCTCACACTACAGGTGAGAATATTGAGGTCCAAAGGAATTAAGTGGTTAACCGAGGTTTCTCCAAAGACATAAGACTGGGCCCTGAGTCTTCTTCTGCCCTAAGCTATGTTCTTTTTCTGCTTTTTTATCTTTTTACTTGATTCTCTAGATAAATGGCAGTACTCTCAAGAGGGAGACTGTCGCTAAATACTCTTGAGTTATCAGTTCTCAAACTTTTTAGTACCAAGACAATTTTCATGCTTAAAGATTAGGAAACTTTTGAGGGTGATGAATATGTTCACTCTCCTGTGCCAATGGCATACATTTGTTGAAACATATCAAATTGTACACTTTAAATGCATGCAGCTTATTGTATGTCAGTTGTACCTCAATAAAGTTACTTTCTAAAATTATTAAGGACCTCGAAGGGCTTTTGTTTATATGGGTTATGTCTGTATCAAATTAGAGATTAAAATTGAGAGACTTTCAAACTTATTTTAAAATACAATAATAAACTCGTTAATGTCGGTGTTAACATTTTTAATAAGTATAGTTTCCAAAAGTTTAGTAATAAGGCTTGTGTTTTACATTTCTCTGAATCTCTTTAATGTCTGCTTTAATAGAGGACAGCTGCCCTTGTGTTCAGTGTGTCACAATATGGTTTGAGTTGAAGTATATGAAGAAACTCCATTTCACATGTATATGTGCTTAAGAGGAGGAGTATTTTGATAGTTTTTTTCAGGTAACTGTGGATATTCTTTGATTCGACATCAAAACTTTACAGGTGGTGCTTTTTAAAAGATTTTTTGCAACATAGAATCTGAAACTGAACTTTTTGTATTCAACATCTTGCACTTGGAATGGATCTTATCTGATAAAATTACTCTTTCTTTAATATATAGCTATTACTGCTTGATTGATTGGTACTTTTAATATTTAGTCACTTGCCTTTTCTGTTAAATGCCCCAATTTCACAAAAATAGAAACTGGCCCCTGTCTTTTCCTGTTCTACTTCTGTAGGAAAATCAGGGTACCTAGGGTTGTTTCTATTGCATTATGTAAATTACTTTTTGTTTTGAATTTCATTTTTCATTCTTTTACTAAAATAGATGCTCTGAGTAGACTGCAATTATGCTAAAAAAAAACCCCAAAAAACAAAAAACCCCACATTTATTCTGAAGGCTGTCGTTTTTGCAAGGGAGTTTGCCTGCGTTTGCCGTGGCGTTTTAAGAAGGAAATCTAGGTCAGTAGCATGGAATGGAGATGTGCGGGCAAGCCTCTGTCAGGCATGCTCATTAAGATGCTGCGGGCTGCTGGCTGTCCCCCAGGCTGTGCTGGGGACTGCTGCGGAAGGGGTAACCAGGGCCATCTGCGTTTTAAAACCAGAGGTGCTTATGCCTTCTCCAGAATGTGAGAGAAAAATGTACTCACTTCTGTGATTAAAAATTGTGGGTTTTTATCAACAGGTAAGAAATGTAAGGAGAGCTACTAGCTTTAGAAAGTTTATTTTAGAAATGATAGGCTGTTTAAATTCTTTTGGGGTTCCTTACGCTTTTAGCATGAAATATAAAATCACTTTCCAAGAAGTTTGGTATATAGTATGAATTTAGTAACTTAACTCATCCAGTCCAGAATAATGACCTTGTGGAAATTTTGATTAAAAAATTTGTAAAAATCCTCAGATATCGAGATCTTCTCGGGGGGCGATCCTGAAGGAGCATTTCAGGCAACACAGA